TTTCCAATGAGTGTATTTATAACTACATATTTAGGTTATTTTTAAATGGCCTAAAATGCCTAATAAAGGAACTTTTATTACCTTTACTTTGAATGAATTTAACTTTAGTTTAATTTTACATTATTTGAACATTATCTTGCATTTTATGCGTTTAACTTAGATTTATTAATTTTAGTAATTGTATTAATACAATTAAGGGGCCGGGATGTAACTGGTCAAGGTTCATTGACCTTTCCAAAGCATCATCCCATTGGAATGCTCCTCAGTCACACCTAGGATCTCAACAAGTGAGAAGGAAATTGTGTGTGCTTATAATATACTTTTATAAGTTTAATTAGAATTTAAGTAAGTTTTCCTAGCTAGTTATTTTTATATCTCCATGCTAGCACTAAGTTTATACTGTATCTCAGATACCAAAGGGGTCTGTTAGATACATGTAAGGGATCATCTCATAAATGGATGTCCTTTAAAGTTAGTATTTCTTCACTAACTATAATTGATCTGTAGTTAACAGATGATAATTATATGGTAATTACATAGTTATATTTGATTGCAAACATAAGTTTATTTGTGTTCGTCATGATCAAGGTTTGCATAATTAATAAGCATTTGTTACATAATGAATGCATTAAGTTACTATATTATCCTTAATGTGGGATATGTAATTTACGTCTTGAATACAGTTCAGTAATGTGATCTACGCATTTGATAATTACTGTAGGAATGCATAATGAATTATTGAATTTACATGATTTAGATATTTATTAACTAAAATGCTTAAATTAACCATTGAGTTTGTAATGCTTAGTATTATAGTCACAGTAAATAAGATGGTCCCTGGTACCAAACTATGCAGGGCAAGGTTACTTATTAGGATTTTACCACAGTTTATACCTCCCTGGTATCATGTTCAATGATATTGCTCCTGCTTTGCTTCATAGTTTATTCATTAGTTTACTTATATAGAATGTTTTGCTTTGTGTTTCATTTGTAGGATTAATTTGTTTTATAATCATTAATTGTTGATTATTGCATAAGTACTATGCATAGGCCTTTACATCTAAGCCTTATAAATCATTATAGGTTTTATCTATAAAATGATAATTGTAGTCTAAAGTTAGCCAATACAGTAATAAGAGTTACTATTATATTACTCTGCTTGTTTGTATTGCAGTTAATCTTTTCCCTTTCATGTGCTTTCATGATTGCTGATCGATCTTCAGATAGTGGAATTAAAGTTTATTTGCGCTCAATTCAAGTTTGTGTGTAAATGTCGTGCTTGCCAGTATACCATGTACTTTGTCCTTTCTGTAGAGACACAACACACTAGTTATATTGCAGTTACAAAACTATGCTGAATTGTACTATATAAAAACAGTTATGTTTCACATAAGACTGGACTTTTAAAAACCAGGTCTTATTTAATATACCCAATGCCAGGCTAATTTGTCCTTATTCTTTTGAAAAGGTTATGGAGTTTTTACCAAAACTGACTTCCAAAAAGGAGACTTCCTGCTTGAGTATGCTGGTGAACACATTACAGCGGAGGAGGGCGACAAGAGAGAAGCCAATTACACTAGTTCTCAAGGCAGGCGACAAGAGAGAAGCCAATTACACTAGTTCTCAAGGCAGTTTTTTATTTTTTTATGGAAAAAATTGGTAAGCTGCTTATTTTGCATTGAAATTTTAAAGATGTATTTCCCTTGCTACACAAAAAAAAAAAAACAAGTTGGCCATTTTGTTGCTTTAGGAATGTTATATTCATTTTTGATTCAAAAACTAAATGCAAATCAATGAGTTTTGTTAATTAACAGGCAAATTAGCTTGAAACTTCTCGTACGCTTTTATCGCCTGTGCTAATTATGCATATGCATGAATGCATTAATGAGAAGAGGTTTGTTGACAAGATGTTTACAATTACATACAGATGTTTTCCAAAACAAAACAGAAATAATTATTAGGGCATGCAAAAATTACATGAAACCAATAGGCCTACACTTTTATTAAATTATTGGTGAAAAAGTTGCTTTGTTGGAATGTGTGTGTTATTTATGAATTGTTCATATTCTACAAGTAAATTATACTGTATTTTGTGAATTACCAGGAATTATTTTTTATTCTTATGATAAATGATGCTGTGCACTACATCAAATGCCTTGCTGAGGTTTATAACCTTTTTTTCTGTTTTTCAGTGTGGATGCAACATTTGCTGAGTCAAGATTGGGCCGCTTTGTCAATGATGAAGTTTCTAAAAAAGCTAATTCAGTCATGAAAAAAATCGATGTAGATGGCAAGCAACATCTTTGCCTTTTTGCAAAATGCGACATATGTGCAGGAACAGAGCTGCGGTACGATTATGGAGTACCAAATCTTCCATGGCGGAAGATGACTGAAGTGGTTAGTTCTAAAATTATTTGCAGCAGTTCTATAACAGGAACAGATATTGATGAACATAGTTTATTGAAAGAGATAGCTTTTTGGTTGAATGACGAAACTAAACGTGTTTCTGAGAGTTTTGATTCAGACTGTGATGATCCAAATGATGACAAATACGAATCTGATGAAAGTTATTCCGATTCTGATTTGAGTATTGTAATTCCAGTGACAAATCCTGTGAGTATTGACAGGAGTTCACAATTGAAAAACCAGACAAAGGAACATAACGTTTTGGAGAAGCAGATTAGTTGTGTAAAATCAACAAAGAAAAATCTGAAGAGACGTTGCCCATTCTGTGGCATATTCCAAGCAAAACTATCAAGAAATATCAATTTTAAAGCACAAAGACATCCCAGAAATTGCAAATGCTATGAAAGCTCCTAAAAAAGAACGTTTGGAACTGTTCAGAAAATTTCAAAAGAAAGGTATTCTTCAGGAAAACAAATATCAGTCAAGTCTTGCTAATCCACAATATCAACAAGAACGTACATGCAAAACAGGATCTGGGAAACCAGTCATGTGTGCCAATTGTTGTGGTTTTTACCATGCATAAGAAGCAATGTATGTTGGAGTCAAGTGTTCCAACAGCTTCAGTTACAATGACTTTATTGTCAAAGTTTAGCGACAATAATGATGGTTTCTTCAGTGAAATTCTTTGCAAAATCAGAGATGACGCAATTGGAATAACATGCAAGGAGGATACAGTAATTAGTAATTAGTAATTGACAAAAAAGGAGAAGTTAGGAAGTCGGTAATGACTTCCATGAGACGGTTGGGAGGGTTCTGCAGCTGATATGTTCTCTAGAAGGAATTACCAACACCTTGAGAAGGCAATTTTATCATACACAAATGTGGAAGGGGACACTGGAGACCTTAAAAATTGCACTGTACTATCTTTTAAAAAAAAACATGTAAAATTCTCAAAGGGACATGCCTGATTAATGATGAAGATTGTAAAGCAACAAAAATTGACAAGATTGTAGAAGTGTTTGAGTATTTCTTGCTGTAATATGAGTCGGCCAATTCTTTATCAAAAGTTGCAAGAATTGGGCACTCGTGTAATGTACCATTTAAAGCTTGTTTGCTGAAATTCCAAAAGTTTTTGTGATATATTTTTTCTTCATATTTGGTACTTCTGACATTATTGTTCTTATCTTTTTGCTTCTTAAAATAGTTGTGAGCTCTTAGTGCTTGAAAGAAGGCAGTTTTATCAGAATCACTAGCCGTTCTTTGGAAAGCCTTTTTGCGGAGCTTGTTCTAAAGTTAAAATTCAGGATTCTCCATAAGGTATTCATTTAGAATAATAGAGAAACAATATCCGGCTTCATGAGGTTGAATTAGACCAGTGGCTAGGTGGTGGTGTAGCGGCTGCAGTCGTTTGTTAAGTTCCACATTGTGAGAATTCCACACAGGTGTTGTTAGCTTAGGAACTACAAAGCGAGCGATGACGGCTAGGCCGCGTGGTGCAGAAACAAAGGGAGAAGGCATAGCACGAACCGAGTTCAGGAATGACAGTTCAATTTATGTTTTCGTTAGGCCTAGGGCTAGGACTTAACGACGAATAATATAAAAATAAAAATAATTAAAAAAAATAAAATTAAAAAAATTTAAAAATTTAAAAAAAATTAAAAATTTAACAACACTAAAACAAAAAGCACACATTATGCTATTAAAATCTCATGAAACCAATTTGGGATTTTGTTTCGTTCAATTTATTTTTTTGCTTTTATTTTATATTTTTAAGTATATAATTTCGATTACTTTTGGTTTTGTTTATATTTATAGTATAATTCTCTAAAAGAAAGAGACAAACTTACAGTTGTAGGCTACTGTCACCTCGAGTCCTAATCAACTCTAAAATTATCAAGAGCTTATTGCAATAAGACAGATCTAGAATTGTTTTGTTAAATATATTATTAATGTTTGAAGGTGTGCATGGTGAAATAACAATAATGATCATAAACCTTGCAGTACACCAATTAGAATATTATTAAAAGAACTGTGAGAGTTCAATCATCTCATAAGTGAATGCAGGAGTCCAGACTGGAGAGTATATATAGTTAGATTGAACAGAGCTTGGGTGCATGGCTATTTAATTGTTTTAGAAATGTCTCACCAACCCACCATGATTACATTGTGAATACTGGCTCTCTTATCATGGGTGGATTTAAGGGTGGGGAGGGGGGTGCTATAATTGACAATCTTTCTTAGAGACACAAAGCCCACCAAAAAATCAAGACAGATAATATAAAACCGTGTAATGTTAGCATCTCCACAGGCTAGAAATTTTTGTTGCTTGTCAGATTTAGGATGAGGCCACACCACATTGGCTTAAATGTTAAGTTAAGCCACTCATGAAAATTCATTTACAGTAATATTTTTTGCTTGTCAAATTCAGGAAGAAACCACGCCACCTTGGGTAAAATGTTAGGCCACCGGTTTCTAGTGGGACCTCCTTCCCATATTGAATAACCTAGATCCACCTCTGCTTACAGGCATACAAACCCAAACCCTGTCCTATCTAACTATATATACTGTTCAGTTTGGACTCGCAAATTTTTACTCCTGAAAATAAAGTATATAAATCGAAACATCAAGAAACTCGCACATTTTATTTAGGATTGTCCACATGGTGCACCGCAACATTTATGATTATTAAATTTATTATTTTTTATTCATTTACAGTAATATTGAATTTAATTTAAGTTAATTTAACCTTTAATTTAATTTTATTTTATTTTCTGAAAAAGTGAAGGAAAAAAAAGAAAAAGAAAATAGGGGTTGTTCATAATTATCAACATTATCACAAGTGTAAAAACACTACTCTTTTTCGGTATCCCCTCCCACCCTACTGAAAGTAGTAAATGTTGATTTTAGAAAAATATTTGAACGAACGTACTTCATTTGGTTACTTTAAAATGTATATTACGGTATATCCATGGTTGCATTATGATTGGTCATAAAAATCTGTTTTTTAAATATTGCATGTTATTTTTAATCAACATTTTCATGCATATGTAAAAGTGTACAAATTTATCTACCCTTCCCCTAGTGTACTGTGTGTAAACTGCAAAGTTTGCTTTGAAAATTAGAAAATTATTGTTATAAGCTATCAGTTTTGCTGCTAATGATATGTTACCGTACTCGCGCAAATAAGCGCCCCGTTTGAATAACCGCCCCTCCTAACTTGAAAATTGTCTTAAGCGCCTTGTTTGAATAAGCGCACCTCTCAATTTGAATAAGCGCTCCTCAATATTTTTGAAATTTGTTTTTTAACAATAGAATATGATTTTTTTTTCTTAGAAAGCCAATAGGCCTAATTATTGAATTGTTTTTCTACATTAATATCTTAAATATCACTATTTAACAATAAATTCTACTGTCTTGTTTGCTAAAGTGTCATTAATTTACGTCAATAACCACTGAATATTCTGTTAGCAGAACAGTAAAAATTAATAATAATAATAATTCAATCTATCCTGCGACTGTGGCTGGCATATGAAAATTTCAAAATGAGGATATTTTTTCCTGAACAGTAGAGCTCCATGAACAGTATCTTTCCTTCTAACTTTCCTTTTCATACATTTTTTTTTTCTATTTCTAGTCCAATTTTGCAACTTTAGCACATGTTTTCAACTGAGTTTGATCCTGCCAATAATAATATTAATCGGAAGATAATCAACAATCTGTAGGCCACCACCACCACCATTAATTTCGCTTAGGCTTACCGCTCACATTCATGTCATCTGGTGGTGGACGATTTCATTTTTGAACCAGAACTATTTGTAATCGATTTTCAGACGTCCTTATAATATATAATCATTTTCATTTCAAAAACATCCTTTGAATTTCAAGTTCCATAAGAACCCCTTAATTTTCATATACTTTCATAAGCGCCCCTCAATTTCCACTCTGTCTTCATAAGCGCCCCGTTTGATTAAGCGCCCCGTTTGAATAAGCGCCCCTCAAAAAGTCCAAAAAATATTTTAAGTGCCCGGGCGCTTATTTGCGCGAGATACCTGTCCATTTATTTTAAAATGAACAGTGTAGGTGTTGAATTAAATTTATTCTTTTGCTTCTATTTTATATTTCAAATATATAATTTAGATTACATTTTTTTTTTCTTGATAGTACCTCCAGTCATAATCAACTCTAAAATGATCAAGAACTTGCTTGCAATAAGACTGATCTAGGATCTTTTTGTTAAAATTATTATTAATGTTTGAAGAAGTTTATGGTGAAATAAAACTAATCATAAATCTTGCAGTACACCAATTAGACTGGATAGCATATATATAGTTAGTTTGGACAGGGCTTTGGGTGCATGGCTATTTAATTGTTCTAGAAATGTCTCACCAACCCTCCATGATTACATTGTGAATAAAATACCTGAGTGATGACGTCACAATTTTTTTATTTTGCATTTCCGCGTTTTGGAACAATGTATCGGTGGAGCATGATGAAAAGCATCCACAACGCAAATTTAGTTGGAATCGATTCACTGTGGCCCGAGATATGGCAACATGATTACGTAATTAGCCCTACTGAAATCAGTGTAACTGACCTGGTTCATATATGAACCAGGTCAAGAACCAGGTTAATTACACTGATTTCAGTAGGGCTAATTAAGTATTCATGTACTCTATACTGGCTCTCTTATCAGGGGTGGATTTTGGGGTGGGGGTGCTATAATTGACGAGGGATCTTTTTAGACACAAAGCCCACCCAAAATTCAAGACAGATAAGATAAAACCATGTAATATTAGCATCTCCACAGGCTAGAATTTTTGTTTATTTGTCAGATTCAGGATGAGGCCACGCCACCTTTGGCTAAACGTTAAGACCCTGGTTTGTAGCACCCCCAAATTGAAGGTCCTGGATCTGCCCCTGTTTATAGGCATATAAAGCTAAACCCTTCCAATCCAACTATATACAGTATACTGTTTAGTTTTGCATCTTGCATTTTCACTCATGAAAATTCATTTATTTATTCATTTACAGTAATATTGAATTTAAGTTAATTTAATTTCAGTATTTTCCGAATAAGTGAAGCTAATGGTACTGTGTTATCCGTTCATTTATTTTTAAATGTAGAATTTAAGTTTTGCATCAGGTTTGTTCCTAAAACCTGTATTCTAGTTCAATAAATTTATATACTGTATTCCAGTTTGTCTCAAAGTGTAGTATTTGTGTTAGAAGGATTAATATTGTTTATGAAAAAACAAAACACCATCTTCAACCTTGTATTGAATCTGAATACATTCTCTGCTAATAATACAAATTAATATAAAACATTTACATTTCAAAAAGAATCAAATTTAATTATGTTTGTATGTAGTGAACATTTTCATTGAAAATACTTTACCAACAATTATTATCTACTGTACTTGGATTCACTAAACACCTGCAAGTAGAAATACAATACTGTAAAACAAGTTGGAATCTTTTATGAACTTGTTA